AATGAATAAGGAAGACTGAAGAAGAGTTGATGGTTTTGAGTTGTGGTGCTGGCAAAGAATGCTGAAAGTACCATGGACTGCTAAAAGAACTAACATCTGTCCTGGAGGAAGTGCAGCCGAAATGCTCCTTGGAAGCGAGAATGGCTAGACTTTGTCTCACCCACTTTGGTCATGTTGTCAGAAGGGATCATTCCCTGGAGAAGGATGTTATGCTTGGTAAGGTGGAGGGTCGACGAAAGAGGGGAAGGCCTTCAATGAGATGGTGGCTGGGACAATGGGCTCAAGTATAGCAAGGGTCATGGAGCTGGCGTGGGATCGGACAGTGTTTTATTCTGCTGTGCATGGGGTCACTATGAGTGAGAAATTACTCGATGGCACCTAACAACAACATGTAGAACTGTGTAGGTGTGGCCTGCCAGTGAATTTTATGCTTCTAGATAGCATCTAATATTTCAGGGTATAGACCATTAACACAAAAAGTGTTGTCAGTGTTATGGCATAATCCTGTGCATTTCTTGGGAACTCTGGTGGTGTAGTGCCTAAGGCATTTGACTGCTAACGAGAAGGCTGGTGGTTCAAACCCACCAGCCAATCCTCAGAAAGAAGGTTGGGCAATCTACTTTCTTAGTGATACTGCCTCAGAAACCCAAGCAGATCTCTATGAGTCAGATCAACTTGAAGGCAGTGAGTTTGGTTTTATTTATTTATTGATCTGTGCCAAACATTCTAGACAGATTTATCATACTCTTGTCAATAGGACTGGATTACTCTCAGTCAAAACTATGTTGTTATTGTTAGGTGCTGTCAAGTCAGCTCAGACTCAGAGCAACCCTCTGCAAACAGAATGAAACACTGCCCGGTCCTGCACCATCCTGACAATCCCTGCTATACCTGAGCCCATCAACACTCAAACCAAAAAACCAAACTCACTGCCATTGAGTCAATTCCGACTCATAGCAATCCCCTCTGGATTTTCGAGGCAGTAATCTTTACAGAAGTAAATTGCCCAGTCTTGCTTCTGCAGAGTGGCTGGTGGGTTTGAATCACCAACTTTTTGGTCAGCAGTCAAAGGCCTTAGGTACTATGTCACCAGAGCTCGACATAATAATTCAGGTTTAGACATAAGAAAAATGTTTTCTCTAGCATATCTGGCATGATAGAATTTCTAGGTCTATTAGCCAAAAAGAACTGGAGAAAAATAAGAAGATAAAAAAGGGAGAGAAGATATGGACAGAGTAAGAGGGAAGTGAGAAAGGAGAAGCATTACAATAGGCAGAAGCAGAGTTCCTCAGAGAGAGAATGTCTTTGGGAGAGTTAAGAAAGTTGAAGTTCTCTTAAACAGATTTCAACAGACTAGAATGTGTCCTTTTTTTTTTTTTTTCCTTAACTTCTTTGTGCTATTTAGTGTCAGCTCCAGTGGTGTAGGCCCTAAGGCATATGACTAACCAGAAGGCTGGCGGTTCAAACCCACCAGCCGCTCCTCAGAAGGAAGGTTGGGCAATCTACTTCTGTAGTGATACTGCCTCGGAAACCCAAGGAGGGGTCTCTATGAGTCAGATCTGACTGGATGGCAGTGAGTTTGGGTTTTTGGTTTTTTACCCATGATGAATTAACAATTTTATCTCCCTATTCTTCTAAGATGCCACAGTGATGAACAAGTTTGACAAGCCCCAAGAAACCCAAAGGGCCACTGAAGTTCAAGTTTGTCTTTCCTGAAATCGTGTCATATAGAGAAGAACTTAAGAGCATTAAAACCTCATGGTAGACCATATATCTAGTATAGAGAGGACCATGGGTTTGGGCAGATTAAGAGTTTCTCTTAGTAAAAGAAATCAGATGAAGAAAGAAGGGTCTTGCCCTACCTTAGGAGAGTTGCCCAAGTCTGTACTCACACTGAGTAATGCTAAAGATCAAAAGAAAATACTGACTTCAGCGTGTTCTGTGATTGTCCTAAAAAATTATGAAAGCATGCAATCTGCATACTGTAATAAATATCAGAGCAGAGAAGCAGAAATAGGACTTATTCATAATACTTTATGAAAGAAGTCATTTTATTTCTTCTGAAGTTGCCCTAAAGACATTTATTAGTCCCTTGTGACACCCACTAAAGAATAAAGGACCTTTTGGCCCACACATACATTCTATATTCTTCAGTTCTCATTTTCTTCCTCTTCTCTAGGACCTTGCCCTAGAGTCCCCAGCTCACTAAGCCCAGCCTTCCCTAATGAGCACACAGTCATTGTTATGTAATAGCCATGCCCCTGATCCTGCATCACTCACAGAGGCCATGTCCTCAGCCTTATTCTGCTCTCCTCATTGCTGTCCTGCTGGGAAAGTCACTATTTCAGATAGACCTCCTTGTCTCCCACTTGACTGAGTTTTCTCTCATTACTGGCTCTCTCACTCATGGGGCCAGCCTGGGCCCAGGACCTCGCAAAAGGTCCTCTTTTGCTGCTAGTGCTCTGGGCGCTCGTGTCCTCTGTTGGCTGCTCCCGTGGCCCACCAGGATGGCGCTTCACTTCCTCTGAAGTTGTGATTCCCAGGAAGGCGCCCCACAAGGTGAGTGGAGCTCATAGGACAGGTCAGCTCTCCTACAGTATGCGCTTCCAGGGCCGAAGACACATAGTTCACATGAAGGTCAAGAAGAACTTGCTGCCCCGAGATTTCCCTGTCATTACCAACAATGACCAAGGTGCCATGCAGGAGGATTACCCCTTTGTCCCCAGAGACTGTTACTACTTCAGCTACCTGGAAGGTGTTCCTGGGTCCATGGCCACACTGGACACCTGCCACGGGGGTCTGCGTGGCATGCTGCAGGTAGATGACTTCACTTATGAAATCAAACCACTGGAGGCTTCTTCCAAATTCGAGCATGTGATTTCTCTGCTTGTGTTAGAAGAAAAATCAACAGAGGTTGAAAAGTGTGTGATTGAAGAGGAAAATGAAAATCTAGCTTTTGAAGAGGAGAAACTTACTGAAACTTCTAGAGCAGGCCCTGTGTATCTGTGGGTGGGACATAGGAAACAATTAAAACTTCACTACACAGTTTCTAACTCATTATACCGCCAGAACACTAATATGACACACATAGTAGAAAATGTTGTACTTATAAACAACATAATGGATTCCATTTATGGATTTATACATCTGAATGTCTTTATACGTGTGTTGTGCATATGGAATGACTCTGATAAAGTAGCCTTAAGTGGAGGTGGCGCTGGTGATATAGTCAATGTATTCGGTTTATGGAAGCTGCATACATGGTGGGGCCAAATTAGTCATGATACTTCATTGCTTCTTACTGGACATCAACTGGGAAATTCTAGATATTTTGCCTTCACAGATGGAGTATGTAATCCCAACTGGGGAGCTACATATGCATTTGTAAAGAGTTATCACCTATTTCTGGCTGCAACTATTTCAGCACATACAATAGCTCATAACTTTGGTGTTTCACACGATGGAGCAGGTTGTTACTGTTTTCGAAGAACCAGCTGTGTCATGGCTTCTGCGCCTGGTCTTATGGATATGTGGAGCAATTGTTCTTATGCAAGATTCCATGATAAGTTTATGAGTTGGGATCCTTGCTTGAGTGCTCGAAATACTCCATACAATAATTTTCCTTATGTAGCTCCTCGTTGTGGAGACAAGATTGTAAATCAGAAAGAAGAATGTGACTGTGGCTCCTTTAAAGAATGCACTAAAGATAAGTGTTGTGGGACCAATTGTGCCCTGACCCTTGGCAGTTTATGTGATGCAGGTGGTTGCTGCAGTAACTGTATATATGCTCCTCCTGGATATGTTTGCAGAGACATACGTGGCATTTGTGATCTACCAGAATACTGTGATGGGAAAACGCATGAGTGCCCAAGAGACGCTTATATCCAGGATGGAACCCCTTGTTCACCATTAGCTGTTTGTGTGAGAGGAAACTGTAGTGACCGTGATATGCAATGTCAAGCCCTTTTTGGATATGGGATAAAAGATGCTTCACCAGCTTGCTATAACCAACTGAACATAATAGGTGACCGATTTGGAAACTGTGGGGTGAAGGTGATAAAAGGGGGAGGAAAGCCTGTGAAATGTGAAGCAGACGATGTTTTTTGTGGAATGCTGCACTGTCGTGGTGTCACCGAGGTCCCTGGTGGAGGTGAGCACTCTACATTTCGTCAGTTAATAGTTCATGATATTAAAGACGAAAGATGCTCTGGATATGATGCTCATTTTGGGACAGAGAAGCCATACATGGGGCTTGTAGTGGATGGTGCCACGTGTGGCCCAGGAAGATACTGTCTTAACCAGAACTGTACCTATTATCAAGACCTGCATTTCACCTGTAATGTATCAACATGCAACTACAAAGGAGTGTGCAACAACAACGATAACTGTCACTGTCTGCATGGTTGGAGACCACCATATTGTGATGGGAAAGGAGCAGGTGGTAGTGTAGACAGTGGCCCTCCACCTGACAGAGAACCAGGTCTTCGAGCCAGAGTACTTGCTAATGTAAACAAGATGCTACTTACAATATTCAGTCGTTTAATACTTTTTCTGTTTTCGTTTATCGTTGGTGGCTTTGCACGTGTAAAACAAGTTGTACAAAAGAAAATTGAGGTAAAAACAGAGGAATCAAAGTAACCATGGAATTCTGGTTAATTCTAACAGGAGCGTAGTCAGTGGAGAAAATAGCATTAGTATTTCTTCGGAAAATGATCAATAATCACTCTGACAACCACATCCTCCTTTAGCTTTTCTGAGGCTGTTATCCTGAAATAAAATGAGTTGATAAAGAAGAAAGCATCTGTGTGTTTAAATCTGGTTAACTTTCCTTGTCTGGTCTTATTCTTTATAATCATACTAATGGCTTATGTTTATTTATGCTTTCAAATCTTATCTGATTCTGTAATGTTCTAATACACATATGTATAAGTCACTTATTATGTATACTTCTATAATGCTTGTTACACTGTTTGGATGCTTTAATAATGCTTTCAAACATCTATGTATAAGGCATTTATAATGTGAAGCTAGAAACAGAATTCTGAATTTACAAATAGAAACATATGTATTTCTACAATGTTCTTTAACCATTGACTGTAAGTTGTTAGAAAGTTATTGTCATCTTGAAAATAGATCACAGAAGATAAGTGAAATAGGTTGTAAATGACTTTCTGAAGTTGTCCTATGGACCTGCGCTCTGTGATAATGAAATATAACTTTAATCAAATCTCTGTAAATTAACAAAATATAAATATGTCACTAAACAATTCCTATTTAAAATTAATTAATTTGTTAGGAGCTCTGGTGGTGTAGTCCCTCAGGCATTTGACTGCTAACCAGAAGGCTGGTGGTTCAAACCCACCAAGCACTCCTCGGAAGGAAGGTTGGGCAATCCTACCCAAAGAGGAGTCGCTATGAGTCAGGGCTGACTCAATGGCACATAACAACAACAACAAAAACTAGGCATTCAAACAAAATCTGCCCCTATTACAAAAACTTTACCATATATAGTTACACATTTTAATGCTTATAGAAACTTTAAAACATAAGTACATATGAAAAATCCACTGACAGAGCCTAACAGGCCTTTTAAGAACTATTCATATAAACTACATTAGTCTTTGCCTATCTCAAAAAATGAGAAATATTCATGCGACATAGTACCACACATTGCACTGGACTTCAAATGACCTTATAACCCTACAGCAACTGTTGTTAGGTGCTGTCAAGCAAGCTGCTGTGACTCATAGCCACAGTATGGACAGTAGAATGAAACACTGCCAAGTCCTGCACCATCCTCACAATGCTTACTATACTTGAACCCATCATTGTAGCCACGGTGTCAATCTATCTTGTTCAGGGTCTTCCCCTTTTTTGCTGACTTTCTAATTTACCAAGCATGATATCCTTCTCCAGGACTGGTCCTTTCTGACAAACATGATCAAAGTCTGGCCATTCTTACTTCTAAGGAGCATTGTGGCTATACTTCTTCCAAGACAGATTAGTTCCTCCTGGTAGTCTGTTGTATTTTCATGAAGTATTCTTTGCCAACACCACAGTTCAAAGGCATCAATTTTTCTTTGGTCTTCTTTATTCATTGTCCAGCTTTTATATGAAATGTGACTTGAGATCAAGAGGTGGTGGTTCTGTATGCTTTCTGTGCTCTCAGACCACATCTGATTCTATAATGGTCTTAAGACACATATGTGTAAGTCACTCTTATGTTGACTTCTAAAATGCTTTTTATACTGTTAGGATGGTTTTATAATGCTTTCAACCATCTATGTATCAGTCATGTATAATATGAAGTTAGAAATAGAGAATTTATTAACTTGGAAATAGAAATATACTTATTTCTATAATGTTCTTTAACCATTAACTATAAGCATTAGAAAGTTGTTCTAACTTTGAAAATAGGTAATAGAAGTCCGCGAAACAGGTCATAAATAACTGTGAAATTGGGCTGTGCCCCTGCACTGAACGATAATGAAATATAACATAGTCAAATCTCTATAAATTAACAAAACATAACTATGTGACTAAATGATTCCCATAATTTTTAATTAATTAACTTGGCCTTGAAACATGTAGTAAATAAAGAACATAAATATGTTATATGACTTTCTCCTGTTCTTCCGGCCTGCTACTCTGGGCAGGCCTGAGTTTCCTCTCCTCACCTAATCCCTTCGGCTGATTGCTCTTCTCTCTGGCTTCCTGGATTTTATCCCCTTTCTCCTGTTCTTCCAGCCTGCTATTCTGGGCGTCCCTGCGTTGTCTCACCTCACCTGTAACCCTGGGGCTGACATGGAACAAGGGATACCATAGCTATTGTCAGATGGATCTTGGCTCAAGGCAAAGAATACCAGAAAGATATTTACTTGTGTTTTATTGACTATGCAAAGGCATTTGATTGTGTGGATCATGACAAATTATGGACAACATTGAGAAGAATGGGAATCCCCGAGCACTTGATTGTACTCACGAGGAATCTGTACCTTGACCAGGAGGCTGTCATTCAAACAGAACAAGGGGACACTACATGGTTTAAAATCAAGAAGGGAGTGCATCAGGGTTGTATCCTTTCTCCACACTTATACAATCTATATGCTGAGCAAATAATCCGAGAAGCTGGACTATATGAAGAAAAACGTGGTATCAGGATTGGAGGAAGAATCATTAACAACCTGAGATATGCAGATGATACAACTTTGCTTGCTGAAAGTGGGGATGACTTAAGGCACCTACTGATGAAGGTTGAAGAATACAGTCTGCAGTATGGATTACATCTCAATATAAAGAAAACAAAAATCCTCACAACTGGACCAATGAGCAGCATCACAATAAATGGAGAGAAGATTGAGGTTGTCAAGGAATTCACATTGCTTGGTTCTACAATCGATGCCAACGGAAGCAGAAGTCAGGACATTAGATGACGTGTAGCATTGGGAAAGTCAACTGCGAAGGAACTGTTTCAAGTGCTGAGGAGCAAGGATATTTCCTTGAGGACTAAGGTGTGCCTGACACAAGCCATGATATTTCCAATTGCCTCGTATGCATGTGAGAGCTGGACAATGAATAAGGAAGACCGAAGAAGAGTTGATGCTTTTGAGTTGTGGTGCTGGTGAAGAATGCTGAAAGTACCATGGACTGCTAAAAGAACTAACAGATCTGTCCTGGAGAAAGTGCAGCCAGAATGCTCCTTGGAAGCAAGAATGGCCAGACTTCATCTCACCTATTTTGGTCATGTTGTAAGAAGGGACCATTCCCTGGAGAAGGATGTCATGCTTAGTAGGGTGGAGGGTCAACGAAAGAGGGGGAGGCCTTCAACGAGATGGATTGATACGGTGGCTGCGATGATGGGCTCAAGTATAGCAGGGATTGTGGGGCTGGCGCGGGATCGGGCAGTGTTTCGTTCTGCTGTGCATGGGGTCGCTATGAGTCAGAAACAACTCGACAGCACTTAACAACAACATGTTATATGACAATTTCCCTCCCCCCCTTTTTTTTAACTTTTTATTGTGATTTGGGTGAAATTTACAAAGCGTATTTGTTTTACGTTCAACACTTCATACACATTTTGTTTTGTGATACTGATTACAATCCCCACAAAGTAAGGTTCCTCTTTCCCTATATTCTTCTTGCCTATGCATTCTTGCCTCGCTATCTTTCTCCTTGTGCAAATGCTAACTTTCTGCTCTCCTTTGGTTGATTAATCTAAGGAGTATATGTCCCTGGTGTAGTTGTTCAGCTCATAGACCTGTCTACTGTTTGGCTGAAAGTTAGTCTCAGGAGTGAATACAATTCCAGGCCCAAAGGGGAACTATGGGCCATTGTCTCTGGGGTTTTACCAGTCTCTAACCAATAGAACCTTTTTCATTTTTTTAAAATTTAGTTTTGTTCTACATTTTTCTCTCACTCTACTCAGGATCCCCAATTTTAATCCCTTTCAGAGTGGTTGGCAGTGGTAGCCAGGCACTATCTAGTTCTTCTGGTCTCAGGGTCCTATAAGGTGAGGTTCTCATGGTCCATTAGTCCTTTGGACTAATTATTTCCATGCATCTTTTATTTTCTTCACTCTCCTTTGCTGCAGACGAGGAGAGACCAATAGTAGCATTTTAGATGGCTGCTCACAAGCTCTTAAGACTGCAGTTGCTATTCAATAAAGTAGGATGCAGAACAGTGTTTTGTGTACTATGGTTTGCCAATTGATCTCGATGTCCCCTGTGTCCATGGTCCTGAGTCTGCAGGCCCAGTGACTCACTCCCTCAAGGTGCTTACGTGTGGCTAAGAAGTTATCCTAACTTTGTTTTTGTTCCCTTTGTCCCCATACTTTGTCCCTTTTTGCCTACCCATACCAGATTAGTATTTGCTATTACAAATAATGGGAGCTCTCGTGAGGTAGTGCCTAAGTCATTTGATTGCTAACCAGAAGGCTGGTGGTTCAAACCCACTAGCCACCCCTTGGAAGGAAGGTTGGGCAATCTACTTCTGTAGTGATACCACCTCGGAAACCCAAGGAGGGGTCACTATGAGTTGGAACCGACTCCACGCCAGTGCATTGCGTTTTTTGCATTGTTTATTACAGATAATGCAGTATTATGTGTGTAATAGTGCTTACTTTTATTGTCTGTACCTCTTGTGTGCCTCTCTGTGTCTTTCTTTTCCTTAGTGATATTGTGCTGCTCACACACTTTTATTATATTGCCTTTCTCTTCACCCAAATCAATACCTGTCTCTTAACCAGCAAGCAATTTTCCCTCTTCTCCCCTTCCATCCCTTGTAACAAAGATACTTACCTTCCCTGTATAAAACTTTCATTGACTTTTTATAATAATGGATTCATACAATATTTGTCCTTCTGTGAGTGACTTATTTCATTCAGCATAATGTCCTTTAAGTTCATCCATGTTATGAGGTGATTTGCAGATTCTTCATTATTCTTAATGTTGCATAGTATTTCATTTGTGACTATGTACCATAATTAGGTTGTTTCTATTTCTTTGCTATTGTAAATAATGCTGCAATGAACATGGGTTTGCATATATCTATTTGTGTCCCAGATCTCACTTCTTTAGGATATATTCCTTGTAGTGGGATTACTGGATCAAATGGTATTTCTATTTCAACATTTTTAAGGA